TGCAGTTTATTCTCACGAAAGATTTGTATTTTCATGCTTACAAAGTACAATTGACTCCAAAACTGAAGTCTACTGACCACACAGAGCGAAGAGAGTTCGTTGAATGGAACAAGTGTATGCCGATTTTTCGAACAAAATCATTTTCGTTAATCGCTATTGAGAAATAAATAATCGTTTTCTGTATCTAAATTGCAAGATACGGATGTAGACGACGTGTGGTTTCAATAAGACGGTGTCACATGCCATACAGCTCGTGCCCGAGAAACAATTCAATTATTGCATGAGTCATTTCCTGGTCGTGTAATTTTTCGTTTTGGTGATCAGAATTGATCGCCCAGATCATTTGATTTAACGCCGTTGGACTTCTTTCTTAGGGTTTTTTTTTTGAGATATAAGGTTTATATCCCCCACGCCTTGAGGGAGGAAATTCAGCGCTGTGTCAACGAAATTCAGTCGCGTTTATGTAAATCGGTCATGGAAAATTTCGACAAAAGAATGCGTATGTGCCAACTAAGCCATGGAGGCCATTCACCCAATATGCTATTCCAAACATAACCCTGAACTGTATGAATCAATAAAAAATACCAAATTTTAATTAAAAACGCTCGTCAAATTTACTTCTTTCCTGAATTTTGGGATACCCTTTACTTACGTATTGTGTAAAAGTGTAAATGTACTTTTACGATTATGTGACAAGCTAGTATTATTTTCTGTTAGATGTATATAGAAAATATAAAACTGTTAGAATATAACTATCGTCAACAGTATTCAGGATATGGTATTTCCTAAAGCTTGTCATTAAGTAAACGTTTTTCACTAAATATTTGGAAATATCATTTTTAATTTAAACAAATATAATTCAATTATAGTTCTACCTCATAGAGTACCTAGTTGTTTCCCGTGTCGGTTTCAGTTAAGGATCATGTCTATGAAGTTACTTGTTTTTGCACACCTAGATTTTTGTTGAAGAACGTTGTTTGGCGACATTTCATAGGATTTTTAGGAAAAGAAATTAAATTTATTATAATTAGCTCAATATCTAAAAAATAAAGTAAAATATAGAGATAGATGCATACCTACATAGACTTCGGTATGTTGAATACAACAAATTTCGTGAAGCTGTCTTCGTTTCTTCAAAAGACGTTTAGAGACAATTTTTCTATGAAATCTGTAACACCCTGTACCTCAGAAACGAGAGCTCTAAGGACGGACATTTGTATCCTGTAAAAAAAATTAGGTTAGTTCAATCAATTTTACTAAATCAATCAATTTATGTCCACACCAGATTGAGTGAAATTTTCACTCTATTAATTAATTAGACAAAGACAACGCACGACAACCATAAAATGGGGTGAAGCCACACAATATTGAGGACATTTATTCCGATTTAGCTACAAGTGTACCAAATACGAGTTTATCTGCAGAATTTATTTAACGGGCACCAATATTTGAGGGAAAGTACTCAGTTTTAGTTTAAATACTATCACAAATGAGTAAAATTGTCAAAATCCTCAATATTGAGTGAACATGTACTCAATAATTTCACTCAGTGGATTCACTCCGTACCTTTATTGCTTTCATTCACACCGATTTCTCTACAAAAAAATACAAAAAAAAAATACAAAAAAACAAAAAAAAAAAAACAAAAAAAAATATATGTACAAAAAATATTGTTAGTCTTTTTAAACATTATTTATAAGTATGTATTCACTTTAAAAAACAAACTTTTTCTCAGTGTACGTCGTGGTTGTAGCGAATTAGACTGCGTCGAACAATTTCCTCCTCGTACGCGACCCCGAGGAAGGAAAATGGCGGAAAAATCCTCCTCGTCGAACCGACCAGAGGACGTCGTGCGAAGGGGGTCCCGGACCTAGGCCAAGGGCCGCAAGAAACCGTCGTAAACAGCGGCGGCGAGGAAGCCGCGCAAAAACCGTCCATTTTCTTATGTCGCTCGGCGTTCATGCCGTCGCGATCGAAAAACCCGCCGAAAAAGCCCCGCCACTTATAAAAAGGAACATATTTTACCGGCGGTACCTTTTTGTCCAACTGTTGGTTGGCGTAGGTCGCGGACGGAATTAGCAAAAACTCCCTCTTTCGTCCGTTTCTCTCTATAGTTCGTCCTGCGACCGATATTTAGCCGGATACGTCAGTTCGGGTTCAGGGGGTCGTAGAGACGGTGTCAGCGAGGGGATACACCGGGTGGGTCGGAGTCGCGAGATTTTGGAGGTCCATTGAAACAGAAAAAGCAAAAAAAAGAACGCGATAGGAACCGTCATATTTTTTTGTATTATTTTCCCGCAAAACCTCTACAGGGTGACCTGAATTTTAACCACGAAAATTCAGAAATCCGTAGAGGAAGCAAAAATAATGGTACTTTTCCATATAAATCTGTTTTCGATGTTGTAACGAGACACAACATTCCAAGCAATATTTTGGAATATTGTGTCTCTACACCATAAAAAAATTGACTCAAAATCAACACAATTTCTGTTACACACCTAATTTTGTTGAAATGATAACACTTTCGTTGAGTAATGTACATTAAACTATTTGTTAACTGTATAAATCTTATACAGGATGTTCTGTAACTAATGGCGATAGTGTAACAGAGGATTCTACACACTAAAATGGTACGATTTAATCAAACTTACATTGTCCAAAAATAAATACTCAAAAAAAACAGCGCGTCAGAATGGAAAACTTGTTTTTATTAATTTTAAATAACCTTTGCAGAATTACAAATATTGCACAAATTTTGGGTAATTCAAATCTCATCGTAATTTTGCTATTATTTGTTAGAGAGCGCCACTTGCGACACTTTGCATGTCTTCAAAATGTCATCACTTTTTTGCTCCTCGGTGTATCTGCCTCTTTGATATTTTTTTAATTTTCCCAGCACCAAAATAATTTCATTCACAAATACCTTTAAATTTTCATTGTTATTTTTTACTTTGAACAAATAAATGAGCATATTAAAACGAAATTTTGTTTGCACAATATCCTGTGAAATTAAATATCTCTTTAAATCAATTACATCTTCATCAAAATTATGCGACGCCACTGAAAATAGAAATATGGTAGAATCGTTTTTTAAACAGAAATTTTATTTTTCCTAATAAAAATAATAGTAATTTGACTTTTTGCATAGCTTTTACCGTTTTGGTGCAAGTTAGCAATTTGCAAAGATGATAACGTTTAAATAAATGCAAAATGTACTTAAATCATTCTATAGAGTGTGTTCAAAATGATGTCCCTGTGTTCCAATTGTTATTTTTGATAGGTTGTTTGCTCTCAAAGATTTGTTTTATTAATTTAACACCAATATAATTATATTACAAACGAAATTTCAAAATTTCGGGGTTAGAATTCAGGGTATATAGGTACAGAAGTCAACGCCTTCTGAGATATATCTCTTCAATAATAACATTTTTTAATTGACACTAAAACAAATCGTAGAATCACGCCTCTAAAACATCCTGTATGTATACACTGTACTATTAACGCTGAAGATTTGTCTGTTTTACTCGAACTCCATAATAGATGTCTATATTTTACAGGAGACAAAAAATATTTTAAAACAAATTTCGAATTGGAAAAACTATAAGTATAAACGGGAATTTATTAACGCATGCACAAAGGTAAAATAACACCCTCTATGTACTTTCTGTATACATACTTAAAAAATATCTTCTATCTTCTCAAATGAAGTTTCACATACCTATGCGTTATATGCGTTAATTAATGATTAACGCATAAGTATGTAGAAAAGTTAAAACAAACGTAGATATATTTCATAGGGTCATTTTAAGTAGAAAAGTTGAATGCTTAAACGTCTTCATTTAAGTTTGAGATACCTATACGTATAAAATTTTTGAAAATGTCACATTTTCGAAAATAACTGATTGACATAGACTGACGAAACCTTGGTATGCTACCTAGTGACTTAACTAAGTAGAAGTTAAAAAATTGATTGGAGTTTTATAAATTTTTGTCAATTAGTGGCTGAGGTATCACCATTAAGAACGCCAGAAATTTGTCGACGCTTGAAGATACCTATTTTGGAAATTTTATCAATATATTTGATTCCTAATTGAGTTTTATTTGAAAATACGACTCTTTCGAGTTATTTTTAGTTCTAAAAAATAACATCTACCACGCATCTTTACTAATTTATTAACAGTTACTTCAAAACTTATACTACCTAGGTACCTACCTATTTGTTTACTACTGAAAATTTCAATATTTTTAGACTTTTGCGACAATACCTAGGTATATTTGAAATACTATTTAAGTATAACAAAAAGTTCTCATAGGTCTTTTCTATGAAACGAATGGTGAATTCTGCAGAAAACACTTATGGTAGGTATATACCTAGATGAGATGAAACATTGCCCAAAATTCCTATTAGCCCTTCACAGTCCAACAAAAACACCTATTTACCTACCAATTTTTATAGGCAAATCAGGTGGAGAAATATTTCATATTTTATAAGTACACACTCAAACTTACTAAATAACCCATCACTGCAAAATTATGCATAAAATTGCACCTGTCACGCCTCCATCAATTATTCGTTACCATTAATGAATGTGTACACACGCACACACCCGCGTCCCCCTAATTTTACGCATAAACATCAGCTTAATTGTACCCAACTCTAAACATTTCATTCGAATCCCATATTCCAATCAGTCGTCCCTATTTTTTCTGTTCTTGCGCACCCGTCCTCTTCTAACACGTCGCTTCAACAATGTATCGCTCATTGTTTGGCATAAAAAACAATACTTTCGCCTTCTCGCTCTCGCCCTTTGCTCGCGGTGTACCCATCTCTGTCTCCGCATTGTTTCAACGCGCTGGGGGCGTGTCCGCGGCGCGACCGCAGCCGAGCTGCCGCGAAGCACGCGAAGCCGCGTAAAGCCGTATCTCAGTCTCAGTTAAGTTGGCGGGTCTAGTGCATAGCGTATGGGTTTTCCGTGGTAAAAAAACCGGCACGAGCACAGGCAACGCAAAAAACGAGACCACGTTTTTACTCCTCGACTCAACCCGAGTATTTGCCATGGTTTTTACATCACACCGGCAGTTTTTAATACAAACACCAGTGTTTTGCGCACCCTTTTTAAATCGTCTGGTGGCCGCGGAGGTTTTTGCCTGATATTTTCGCCTGCATCCAGTGGTGTGTGTGACAAACAATCACCGTACATTCCGGAAGCATTCCACATCCCCCCTGACGGCCGTAAGAGGTGTCGCGAGGCGTCCCGATCGGAATTCCTGATTTCAAGATATCCACACCTCTCTCTCCAGGTTAGTAAGTCTACAGTTTGCCAACAGTGAGTGTTTGTTTTTTCGCCAGTCTGATATTCCGAGGGGGACAAAAACTCGAACATTCCACAGCAAAAAACTGCGTACAGGTGTGCAAAAAAGTGTGAGTTATATGTTGGAACGGATCGACGTAGAATAGACGGGCGTCATAGGGAGAGTAGCATTACCAGTGCGGATACAGTGCAATTCATTGACTAAACAAGTGTTTTTTTGTCGGTGGTTTCTTGTGATTGCCCAGGTAGGATCTTGTTACACCTATTCTTTTTATTTGTGCGATTTTGCGGCTGTTACGGCTGCGGAAACGTAAATTACATACAGGCACTGAAAGAGGTTATGTTTGATATAGGTACCTAATGATTTTATAAATGTCTAGGATGACGATGAATTTTGACGTACCAGTGCGTATCTACCTAATTTATAGTCATTTTTACCAATTTGGGATGTATTTCGCATATTTTTTATAATTATTAATACCGCCTAGTGCTAAAGTTAAAGGGAAAAATGTCCTTACACCTACCTAACCGCTATATTTTTCAATATAAATACTTCATAGACGACAAATAGGTATGTCTACGTATCTAGAGAAAATGTTAGCAAATTTTTGACAAAATTTTGACTAGTCTTAGCAATTTCCTGACCAATGAGAGTTTACACATTTACCTATTTGTGAAATAGATTTCCTTCTTTTTGAAACATTTGATTTGTCGACAATATGTAGGTACCTACATTTTTTTAAATTAATTCTGTTGCTGCTTGGGCTGTTGCACGCCATTTCGTCCAAGTAGGTACTCGAAAGAAGCAAAATCTTTAGAGTCATCTTTTAGTTATTTTCCTCCATTACGAGTACGTTCCACATTTTTTCCACAACCAGTTTTGCAAGTAGGCATTGCGTTTATACTCGCGAACAGGTGTGTTTGCCCTTGTAAAACCACTGAAAAAATGTAGTTTGTTATCACTTGTTTGCATAAATTAAACGTTTTTCATCGCGATAATCGTTGGATGATACTTCTAAAGTTCCACCCGTGGAAACGGTATGAAAAGTGGTTATTACGTCTAGTTATTACCTTTTTTTACACTTTGTGAGTTGCGAACGCCGTAACGTTGCGACCTTTTTAATTCCAATGTTAACTTCTGTCAAAAAATGTTTTTTGTATACCCATGGAACATTTTTATAACTTTAGTCATGACCCCAAGAATTTTTTGTAGAATTTGTCGAGAAAGTAAAATTATGTAGGTATAAAATTGCTGAAATATCCTTTAGACACTGAACTACTTATACAGGATGAAGATGTACCTAGGTACTGCTACTGCTAAAAGTTATTTTGGAGGCAATTTTCAAAAGAAAATAAATGTTAATCCTAGGATACTTAGTCGGCCTATTTTCGCTGAAATATTGGGAAACTTCATCAAACTAGGTAGGCTTCTTTTTATCATTTGTTTTTTTCCCCGAAAGATATTTTTGTTGACAAAATGTTACCTATAATACTGATAAAAGACTGTCACGAAATTGAAATTTTCGTTCAAATCTAGCTACCACTGAAATTACAATTATACCTATTAGGTATGTTTATTAAGGAGGTACCTAACTATATTTCAATTTTAGTGGAAATAACAAACTGATAACTGTCTAACAATAAATTCAGCACAAATGAAGCAATGAATACTTGTGTTCGTGCTTAACATGAACTAGGTATTACTTGCGCTATTATTAACTGTATGCTATTCATATTTAGACTATAATTAATTATCTCTTTCTGAGTCGATTTTTACTGTCAAAACATGAAAGCTGTTATTGAACATCAAATTGCAAATAGGTATTGTTAAAACTGCACAGTTTCTAAAGAAACCCTCTCATATATTTGTCTTAGATTGACAGGAAATACCTAGTATCCTGTATTGCTTTAATAATTTCTGTATTAAGGAGGGATATCTACTTAAAATTTTAACTACCTAGGTACATACCTACCTACCTACTATTATTGTGATTATGGGTACCTAATTTGTTATCATATTTCTAGCTATATTTTAAAAATGCATTTAGTTGGAAGTAAATTAATCGGAGTTAGATTAATTAGTTGAGTTTCAATAGACATAATTTTCGTTATAAAAGATTATAACTAAGTATGTATGTATATCTATAAATGTAGAAAACTACTTTGCCATTTCATATTTGTATTTTTTAAAGCCATTCTTTTTGTCTTTTGAGTGTTAAGTACGTTGATTATAAACTTTCTCTTAAATATTGCCAATGCGACGGGTTTGTTGTACCTACTTATCGGTGTTAAAGTGTACGAGTCTAATTCAGTTGTTTATTAAAAAAAATGGTTAATATAGGTATTTGGGTGTAAGTAAAGAGAACGCCTAAAATTGTTACCCTCTTTGTTATTTTCAAGTAAACTATTTTTCATTTATTTTGAACCTGCCTACAGTGATTCAAGAGTTACTAATTAGTATTTCTAATATGTTTTACTATTTTTTAAACATTTTAAATGTTAATATTGACTAAAGCTCATATTAGTAAATCTGAAGAACAAATTTACGAAAGGTATTATTTAAAACAGCAAAAAGAAGCAAAATATTAATTTTTCAATGATAAACAACGATAAGAAATAAAATTTCAGTTCTCTATAAACCTTGGACCTGTATTTTAACCAAATCTCGACTAAAATGCAAACTAAAACTCCGAACCCGAACACTGAAATTTTTTTGAACGAAGATCTTCGTATTCCGTGTCTGCTACTTCTGATTACAATGTAGGTAACATGTTCGTGGTTAGATTTAAAATTAATTAAATCTAAAAAATGCTCTTTTAACGGTTCGGAACATAGTTACCTAGGTACCTATTTAGAATCTTTTTATCAGCTTTTTCCAAAAGCGGAAATTATCTGTATGTTAAATTTTTTCGTTTTTTATTCAAATTTTCCTGAAAAAACGGTCGTTTTCCCATCCTCAATTTTTCGGAAATTTCTGTTGATAGAAATGATTAAATTTCAGACTACTATCAAGTCAAAAAAAGCATAAGTAGGTACCTTCTAAATTTTCCTTTTCAATGTCTCTCTTTTTGGGATTATTACAATTTTTCAAAATACTTCTTATCCAAAGGCCATTTATGTATTTTCCCTTAATTTCCAGGGCTTATAACGTTATTTCGATGGGCACAGTCATCCTGGGCACAGTAATTGGCTCGTTATCCGCGTAATTAAAAAGTATCCTACATTACCGGCACACCCGCTTCCTGCGATAGGGGCCCAATATATCGTCAGCCCGTTTTGTGCCCTAATTGGCTGGTTGTTGTTCGATATAAATAATTTTCCACTTATACGGATAGTTTGCAATTATTCAGAGCCAGGGTGGGATAGCTGGTACGTTCAAAACGTAGCAGATAACAACTCATTACGGCCTACGCAGGAGATACGATATTATAGAGTCCTGTTTTACCGGCCAGCTGCTGTTCCGTTATTGCTTGTGTCTCGATTTGAGTTGACGAAAAAATGAACGAAACTTTCTTTATTTTCGTTCTGGTTAACTAAAACTTTTCTATCCTAGATCAGAGTATTGATTTTCAATATTGTTCACAAATAAAGCGTCGCATTATTTGCAAAACCGAGTTGGGCAATGATCGACAATTTTGTATAGAATTAGAATTTAGTCGGTAACATAGATAACTGTATTCACTATTCACGAATGCCGCTGTCAAAATTCACAATTCACACAAAAGAATCAATTATGCTCCAAACGTTTAAAAATGTTTACTGAAACAATTTAAAATAATTATGCTTATAACCAGCAGCTTGTGAAAATTGAACAGATCACGAAAAGGCAAAAAAATTTTCTTATCACAATCGACACAAATACCTAGGTATAATTAGGTGTTTTTTAAATTTAATTTGTAACAATTACATTTTCTTCTTCGTAGTTGTAGGTACATATTTAAATTTTAATTTGATAGATACTAACACGAAAGTTTTCTTTGTGGGCCTAGAAACCATCTCTTTATAAAAAGGTACAGATCCTCTGTTTATTTATAAAAATATAACCACTTCAATCAGCCTCCGCCTATGAAAAATTTAGGAATGATTTATAGTCGTAAAAATGATGGTGATGATATTATGATCCTGTGGCATTTTTCGAAAGCTCAATGTTAATGTAGGTACTGACATAACCTCAGTTATTTTCTTAATTAATATTTTGCCACAATTTTTTTTTTTTTTTGTCAAATTACACATATTAGTCTTGGAGTCTAATAATGGCCCTTATTGGTGGAAAATTGATCATACCTACGTTTCTTGTTTTCATTTTTTTTTTGTGTCAAACATCATTAAAAAATCTTACAGCAAGGTAGGTAGGTAGTAGATATTCTTGTTTTAAATCGGTAAAATTAACCGTTTCCGATAAAAAAACGCATTTTACAATTTGAAGCATCCTTAAAAGTAGTTAAAATTTACCTATTTTGTGGTATAAACAAAGCAAGATTCTAACTTTATTATTGAAAATATGTTCAATACAGTTGTACAGCTTAACCAAGCTGACCTTGTCCGCTAGATAGAAGATAGTACCTACGTGGTTTATGTGCAAAAATATAGATTAAATTAAAGAAATATTAGGTACCTACCTATTTCAAATAATTTTCTCGCGAAGAAAAGTCGACAGGATACGCTACATTAAGTAATATTTATGATCTTATAACGAACGTGAAAAAATATCCTTTCAGTAAGTAAAAAAAAAGGAAATTTATAAATGTAACATACAAAATTCATTTAGGTACTAAATTTTATAAAACAAAACTAAATATTTATTTATTCCATAAATTTTATTCTAAGTAGGTAGGTACCTATATTTGGAAAATATAAATTTTCCTGTTTTCTAAATTCGTCTCACTTTTGATTGCTCACTTGCACATACCTAATAGGTATTAAAAATTTGTATTTTGGCACTTTTAAATAATGACTAAATTGTTATGTCGTCGTTTTGACTTTGTCGTC